GATTGGTATGCTGCCCTTGACTTGAAGGATGCATACTTCCATATTTCAATAGTCCCATCCCACAGAAGGTTCATCAGATTTGTAGTGGTCTGTACTCACTACCGGTTTACAGTCCTCCCCTTCGGCCTGTCGGCAGCACCTCGAATGTTCACCGAGTGCATGGTAGTCATAGCTGCTTTCCTGAGGAAATGGCAGATGCAGGTATTCCCGTACCTCGACGACTGGTTGGTCAAGGACCGCACCAAGGCACAAGTGGAGCAACACGTAAGCATGATAAGTTCTACCTTCGACAAACTGAGTCTCCTGCTGAACATGCAAAAAGTCAACACTATCCCCCACTCAGAGGATAGAGTTTATTCAGGACAAGTCAGAGCATTCCTGCCAGAATCTCGATTACAGACAATTCACAACATTATAGAGGGCTTCAGACAGTACCCCACCACCACAGCACGGAATTGCTTGAAGCTCCTTGGACACATGGCTGCCTGTACATATGTAGTACAGCACGCAAGACTGAGGCTCAGACCTCTCCAGGCCTCGCTGGCATCGGCATATCGACCAGGCTGAGACATGCTGGACAAGGTAGTTATGCTTCCATCGCAGGTTCTCGAGTCTCTCCGGTGGTGGCTCAATCCACAAGCGGTGTGCACAGGGGTCCCCTTCTCCAAACCACATTCCTCGCTGCCTCTGGTCACTGACGCATCAGCGATGGAGTGGGGAGCGCATCTGGGAGAGCTCAGAACTCAGGGCCTCTGGTCCCAAATGGAGCTCTTGCTTCATATCAACGTCAAGGAGCTGAGGGCAGTTCGTCTGGCATGCCAGACCTTCCAAGCTCACTTGGAAGGGAGATGTGCATCAGTCATGACTGACAATACAACAGTGATGTTTTATATAAACAGAAAGGGTGGAGCAGGCTCCTCTCTCCTCTGTCAGGAAGCCCAAAACCTCTAGGACTGCTGCATAGCCTACTCAATACACCTGGAGGCATCCTACCTCCCCGGATCTCAAAACGAGCTGGCGGACCATTTCAGCAGATCTTTCCACAATCACAAGTGGTCCATTCACCCAGATGTGGTGAACAAGGTTTTCCAATGGTGTAGAGTTCCCCAGGTCGACTTGTTCACCACGAGAGACAACAGGAAGTGCCTGCAGTTCTGCTCCTCCCTGAATCACAGTCTGGGCTTGCTTGCAGATGCATTTCTCCTTCCCTGGAAGGACCACCTGTTCTACACATTCCCACCTATTCTGCTAGTCCACAAGGTTCTCCTCAAAGTCAGGAGGGAAGGAGCCTCAGTGATACTGATAGTGCCAGCCTGGCCTCACGAGCACTGGCACACCACGCTTCTGGAGCTGTCGGTGGACACCCCAATCATCCTGCCCTTAGTTCCGGACCTGATCACCCAGGACCATGGCTGGCTCCAGCATCCCAATCTAGAATCTCTTCACCTCACAGCTTGGAAGCTTCATGGTTGAACCTATTAATGCTAACATGCTTGCGACCCACTAGGGAGGTCCTCCTTGGCAGAAGGAAACCATCCACCAGGGCATAGGTGCCAGCTTCCTCTGGGCCCAGGGAGTGCTCAACCCCCCACTCCATCCCAGGCCCTGCCACATCCCACCCCTTCTCCCAAGTCCCTCCTTTTCCCACCCAGTTCCGCCTCCTCCCCTGAGCGTGCCCCGTCCCGCTCCTCCCCCTTCCTCCCAGAGCCTCCTGCATGCCGCGTAACAGCTGATTGAGGTGGGCAAGAGGGGCTGGAAGGGAGGGGGAGGAGTTGATCGGCAGGGCTGCCAGTGGGCAGGAGGAGGAGGTAAGCTGGCTGCCAGTTTGTGCTAAGTACCTGCTAATTTTTTTCCATGAGTGCTCCAGCCCTGGAGAGCACCCTGTTAGGAGATGCATGGCTCCTGCTCATGAGCTTGGAATTATCTAAAAATCAATTCCATTAAGGCTGCTTCTCCCTCCCTCTCTTGCACAGAGTTTTGATGTTATAAAAGGTGGAGGGGCCCCAATCACTATTCAGCTCCTTCTGCTAATTCAGGAATCTCTTTAGAGGCTCCAAAGAACTCCAGAAGATAGATGGGAAGTATGGTTCCACATGGGCAATCATCTGAGAGTTGTTATAGTATGTAACTGTGTTTTTTCTGTGTGAATTGCTCATATGGATCCCTACTCTTGGGAAATTATCAAGATATAAAGACCTTAAAGGAGGTGGATGTAACATAGTGCTTTGGGTGCATATGCATGTTCCCATGCCTGGTTTCAAGGCTCTGACTTGCAGCAGAATCAAGTTACCAAGGGTAACCTGGTGGCAGCCCAGAGGTAGAAGAAGCACATTCTGACAGAGAAGAGACTCGGGGTCAAAGAAAAGGTATAGGAAAGGTCTCTCTGCATAACTGAGACAGGAGACACTTGCCAGGGAGCAAGAGAAGAAGCCTCATCAGGAAAAGAGCTGGATTCGAGAAGGACCCATACAGCCTGGGGAAGAGGTCTGGAAGATCTGATTTGACATTGAACTGTTATGTGGTATTAATAAATTAGACCCCAAAAAGGGGATGTTACTTGGAGCATGAGTTCATTGCATTTATTGATGAGACCAAGAAGGGAGAAACTGAGGCAACGGATACATCACCGGGCAAGGTAGGCTGATCCTAGCAGTGTGGGTTTGAGGTGTATTAGTTAAAGATGATGACAAGATTGTTCTCCCAAATTGGGTATGACATCTCAAAACCAAGTTGAAGGAATGATGATGAAAAAATAGAGTTCCAGCAACAGCCCTGGGTATTTCAGTGATGGATACTGTGCAAAGACATATCATAGAAGCTGCCTTAGACTTAGCTGAGTGTCCTCTGATATCTCCATGTGGCTGAATATCTGTCATGTCATAACAGTGTTGTATACCTAATCTGATTCATCTGGACAGCCTGTAAACCAAGATGGGTTGAACCCTGGTCTTGTTACATACTTCAAAAGTCAGGGGAATTTGCAGATAATTTTGGCTTATATATAACAACTTAAGGCCTTCTGGACATCTCAAATATGGATCCTTATCTCCCTGGATGTGCATAAGACCAGGGGAGGGTGAAAATGCACAGGTTTCTGTCCCAATTGAAATGGAAATCAAAGATCACTTTACACAGGAAGTTGGGGTGAAGATACAGGATCACCTTATTCTTTTTGAACACAGTGAAGGGAGCATCAACCCTGTATCTTACTAAATAAGGGATCATGATGTGGCTATAATCAATGCCATCTTCACAGACAGATGGCACGCAGAACAGTTTAACAAGGTTCAAACAGCGCTTTATGAAAACAAGATTCAGATACCATGGTACATCTGGTTCATGTGCTAGAGAAAATACGTGGAAAAAATTTTCAGAAATGTGTTACTGTATGATGAGCAGATTGCCAACCCACAAACATGAGTGTAGAAATCTGAGGTGGCTCCCAGCTTGACTTGGGCTCCCAGCAGTCCAGAAGCCAAGCTGTCAACCTGGGGAGAATTTTAATCTAGATGGAGAATCTTGCCCCACTCCTGAGACAAGAAATCTAGTAGACTGGGAAACAGGACTTGTGGTTTCAAGTTCCAGAGGATTAGAGAACCAAAACTTCCAGGCTTGGGCCAGGATTATCCACAGCATTTTGCTTTCATCCCACCTGACTTTCTTAATTAACTTCTGGATCAACAGAATCAGAGGAAAATCCTAAAGGAACTCCTGATTCCAGTCCAGGAGAAGAGTGCCTGTCAAGGATGCTGGGTTATGCCTGCTCCTGGAGTATATCCAGATGTATTTGGCACTCTAGTGATCGAGATCTAGCTGTGACTTGCCCCTCTAACAGAACAAATAATGAAACATTGAGTCTGTTGATTGGAAACTCTGCTCAAGAACTTTTAGAAATTGAATTGGGAGAGAGGGGCTGAAATGTTCACATTGTAAAGAAACAATGCAAAAAAGATATTCTGAAAACCAGAGCCTTGCTGACCTGGGAATTAAGTTGGGAGGAGAGGGAAAATGGAAATGAGTTGAATGGATTTTTTCAACTTTATTTTCCTTTAGCAGGTTAATAACCCTGTTTGCTTTGCTTTGTGCTTCCTTCTCATTTAAGCAAATTCTAAATTACTTCTGTTTCATCTGCAAGGAGTGATAACTGAGCTAGCATCTTTGCCAAACAGCTTGAACATTCTTATAACAAAAGCAAGTCAGAGCAAAAAGATTATAGTTGCTATCCAGAGTGGAAAATGTGCATATTCACAGTGCAGTTATTGAACAATAACCAGAGCAAACCCAAGCATTCTGATTACTAATGATAAAGGCTGTTAACTTGTCAGAATATAGGAATATGCATTTTATATGGTTGTATGATTTTTCTCAATAATGAATACATGAAACAGAAACCTACAACCAATCAGCATGCTGAGGATAGCTAGGAAACATTGCTGTACAGTTCATCATTAACTATACCACATGCCTGCAATTTGGTGAGCTGAGACAATTGCATTCCAGTATAATCTAATATATTTTGTTGTGTAAATTTGTACAGGTGTTGCATCTGCTTTTATTAGTGACTTGAATCTATCCTATCTGTCTTCTTATTTAGAGAAATTACCAGTTTCAAGTCATTTTTTAGATTGAATGATTCAGATGCTGTACTTATCAACTCTGTTAAATGCTTATCATTCATCAGAGGTCCTCACTTCTCTCTACACCCACGTACACACACATTTCCTCTTCTTGCTTATATTGGGAGTTATTCTTATTGGATCACATCCACCCTCCACTGCTTGTGCAGAACTTTAATTTAAGTCAATGGTAGTTTTGTGCAAAAATCAGTGGTTGTGTATGATCCATAGAGAGGTGAACCCTTATTATAGACACAGTTTCTCTTCTGCTCTTTTAAAAAAAGCACTTTAAAAAGTTAATTTTCTTTCTTCCCTTTAAATATTTTGCTGAGAGCCAAACTTATATAAGTAATCATTCTCTTTTTCTTATCTGCTGCTGAAAAGAGGTTCCAGGTAATGCTTTTATTTTGCTAAACTGTCTAGTCCATATTTTACCATCACCTCTCATTACCATTAAAAATCCATATGTTATTTTGGAGTCTCATAGGATGCTGTACTTTACCTACCAACCTTCAAAATACCATTATGCTGCTTATCAGTTCTTAAATTACATATATAGAATCAGCAATAGTTCTATTCCATGTATTCTACATTATATTTAGGGATGTATTTACCAATAAAATTGTCCACATGTTCACTAAATTTGTGAACATTTTAAAAATACTAAATTAGTGTGAAATAAGAGGAGGTAGGAATGGAGTTCAGTCTAGTTCTTAGTGGACAGCTATCTGTTATAAAAAAACGAAACACTACAACTTGCACCCCTTTATCATTTTTTGGCAGTCTCAGTAGAGAGATCAAGGAAAAAATGGTCATAGAGACTGAATTTGCCATGACAATCTAGCACCCTTTATAAGCATTGAAGCCACTGTTTAACCATTATTAAAATAAAAATCTTAAATACTTGATAACTAACAGGTCTATACTTGTGCACAAAAAATTGGCACTTATCTCTACGCATACAAGGCTTAGTATGAGTGCCCAGCCTGACTGCTTATTGTCAGCAAGCAAGATTTTCAAAAGTACCTAAGGGAGCTATTAACTTTTAATGGAAATTAGACACTTAAATTGCTTAGTTGGTTTTGAAAATCCTGACCAAAATAAATGTCAACAAACAAATTGTCTTAAATCTTTTCAAGTTCATAAACTATTTGGAGCTCATTTTTCCCTGGGTGAGGTTCAACCTGTTCTGAGGGCCAGCACCACTGATGTCCTTCAACATAGGCGGTAGTTATGCCATGTGGTATCCTTCAGCACAAGGGTGAATTTCTTCATCTGTCCATACAGCTGCAATTTACTCTCTGAAAAATGTGATTAGAATATCTACATTTTAACACAGAAATAAAGATATCACCATTGGCATTTCAGCCTTGTTTACCACTAAACTCAAAGATAAAAGACTTGGTGGCATCTTACACTAGTAGAGAAGGGAGATAGATAAGGAAATGCACATCAGAAAAGACCATACGTTGATCTGTTAATAGCTTTAAAATGAAACCTAGGGAGAGACATATTGTAACATTGTACAGAACTATATGTACATACCATCATCAATGATGTTGAAATCACATCAAGTGGGATGAAATGAGATTAATTGTTCTTAAACCTATGTATAGTATAAATAGATTTATTTCATTTCTACAGTCTTTTAACAAAGAATACTAAAATATAGATGTCTAGTAACACTAACTACATTTTCATGCATAAAACAAATTACCTATGTGAACTGGTCTATTCCCCTTTGATACAGGGACTTAACTCCTATATTAACTCCCTTACATGTGTTCAAAGAGAAAATTAACCTAAAAGCTTCCCATGCCTCTCCCACTTTTTGTACGCACAGTTTTTGAGCATGCAGCCATATTCCCCATGCAAATGCATGTCTGCTATATATATTGCATGTGCTAATAGTGACCCAACTGCATACCAAATGAAAAATCTGCCTGGAAAAACTGGGTTTTTTTAGATTTGCATCCTTAGGACAGTTTTTTTGAAAATGTACTCCCGTGTTCTGTACCATGCCTGGCATATGCCTGCTTCCGAATGCCGAGATTGTTACCCTGAAACATATTCGAATGAAAAATATGTACATATACCCTTACTCTTATCTTGCACTCAGTTTCCACTGCTGTGAAAAAAATATAGTGCATTTAGAGTTTTGTTTTGTTTGTTTTTTAGATTGGTTTACAATTATATTGTTTGGATATCTTGAAAGACAGACAGTTAAGCACAAACTAATGAAGTTTAACTCTATTCTTGAGACCCAAAGTCATTTATTTTGCATACTTTATGCTATAGTATAGTAGCATACAAATTCAAATAGGCCAATCAGTTGCTTGGCTAAGGACTTATATATTGTACTTAAATACTAGATGGTCTTCTCAAATTGTTTTATAATTGAAAACTGTCATACATTTCTCTCTTCTCCCATTCTACAACAGTGGATTAAGGGACATACAACATTTTATGATGCCACCTACTGGAAGGAGGCAAACAGTTCTGAAACCCCACAAGTAACTACATAAGCTTGAGCCAGAACTTTCTCCCTTTAATTTTCTTTGTCTTCTGTACTGGGAAACATAGAGGCTTCAACTCTGCACTCCTGCTGTCTCCTTTCTTCTGCCCTTTTCCTCTCGTTCTCTTTCTCTGTCTTTCAGGGACACAAAAGAAGAAAGGAGACAAGGAAGGGAAAGAAACTTGAATGTTTTTCTTCAAATCCAAGGGAGGGTAGAAGGCAGGGGACCAGGATCTGTGGCTGATCACTCCCTGGGGGCGGGGCGATCTCAACTGGGGTTGGCAATTCAACCAGACATTGTAAATATCAGATTTACAAGGGTGGACAGAGGGCACAGACTTTCCCTCCTCAATTTCTAAGAGGCTCCCTTGATTGAAACACCCATACGCCTAGCATGCTGCCTCCCTGCCTTACTGGTATCAGCACTCTGCCTCAGCTTTCAGCTCTGCTCCACAGCTTATGCAGTTCATCATCAGCTTCTCTGCCTCCACAAGGCCCAGGGACTCTTGTACCTGAGGTCTTCAAGCCAATCCCACTTCTGGTAAGTCCTGCTTTGGCAGGTATTTCTTCTGCCTCTCCTCCCTTCTTGGACCCTCCTACTGCTTTCCTTCTCCCTGTGCTTCCCATCCCCAGGATTTTCCTCCCTCACCTGTTGTTCCTGCAGGAATTTCTGCTGCTCCAACTTCAGCCCCCTTAGCCCTCCTTGGAGCCTTTCCCTATCCATCTGGCACTCCCTCAGCCCCAGATGGTTCTGACATCTCCTTTGTTCCCTGTGCAAACAGCACAATTCTCTCCTTCTGATGCCAGGGGGCCTGCTTGTTCTCCATACTGGAGACCAAATTCTCTAGTGGCCTGTCTGCTCATTGAGCTGTTCTTTTTAGCAGCATGTTCAGCAGCTTTCCAGTTCAGTCTCTCCAGTGTCCATTTCCTGAGGCTTCTCTGCCTGTCCTGGCCCTGGTAAGCCACACTCTGGCCAATTCATATCTTTCATATTCTACTTCAGTTAAAGCCTTGGTAAAAATTTGTGCTGGCTGTAAGCTCCAGGTTATTCCCTGTATCTGGTGTAAGTATTGAGCTGGTGACTGCAAGATCCAGCCCCTGGGTTTCATATCATTGCACTCAGGAATTCAAACCCCAGATCATGCTCTTTCAGCATGAGAGTGAAACTGACTATTTCACAATTTATGGCATGTGGGTCTTTCTGTTGAGAGGTAAAACCAAGACCCTGGCTGCTTATAAAAAGTGTTTGTTGAGCACCCCCCCCCCCGTCCTAATCCTTCAGCTCTGCAGTCTCTGCCTCCTCTTACCAGGCTGTAAGTGCAGAAATCAGAACTTTGTGTCTCCATCTTTGGGGAGGGGTTTATCACCTCTCCCTTGTTTCCCAGTAGCAGGTTTGCCTTCCATTTTTCTGCTCTTGCCCAGGGAGCCTATGCAGTTCATAGGTTCTGTAGAAACTTGGTCTTTCTCTCGGTCTCTGGCTGGGATTCATCTCTGCTCTCTCACAGATTTTCTTTGGATGCACGCTTTTTCTCACAGGTGCTCTGAATGGCCTGGCTGTCACATCATTGATCTCAGTTTCTGTGGTCTCTCTTATTGCACCACACATCAGGACCCCTTACTTGTTGCATTTCAGTCTCTGCTAATTGTGTGTTGCACCAGCCTCAGAAAGAATAGACCGTACAGCCATACTCTCATACTGGCTCCCTTCTGCACAGACAATACCTCTTCCTGTAAGACTGCCTGTCCCTGCCCTCCTTGTTGCTAACTTGAGTCCAGTTTAGAAGCACCATGATCCCTCTGCACAATGCTTAGCAGCTTGTCATGAGAAATATAACCCTGAGGTCTGATCCTACAAGGTTATTACTGCACAGAGGGAATAGACATAATTCCCTAGAGAGGGAGATCATATTTGAACCAGCTTCTTGCTCAGAATCACCAAAATCCTTCATTTCTAGGCTGCTGGGGACCTTCAATGTGTATTTTCCACAGTCAGAATATGAAATATATATCTTGGGAGAATACTTGAACTTGTACCTCAGTAATGAGGTTCCACTTGTCATACATCTTGTTGTTCCTAAGTTCTCCTCCTTAGTATTAAGTAGGACAAGTATAGAGCATTGTACAGCTGCCTGCTTTTATCTGTGGCATATCCTTTTGTAGTCATGGGGAAGTTCATATGATGATAATATTTTATGCTTTCTGAGGTTCTTAGAGAACTTGGTAATGTTAATGAGTTAGGATACACAACACAACTGTGAAGTAGGGACGTCTTGCTTCCATCCAGAGAGAGGGAGGCTGAGGCACTGAAAGGTAATGCAACTCAGGATCTCTTTTGTAATAGAACTATCTGTCCCTTCAGAGGAATTTTGGCTAGGAATTCTGCTCCTGGTTATTTCTTATGGACAAAAACTACAAAGGGTTCCGGTCCTTCCTTGTTTTATGGCTGTTAAATAACAGCAGAGATTCTGGATGGAAACTTCCAGGTCAGTTCTCTAGTCGCTTTTCCCAAGTGACCATCTCTGCTTGATCGCAGTTCAGAGCCCATATCTGCATGTTCATATCTTTTCAGCTCATTGGAGTCTTCTACTTTTCACCCTCAGAAACAGTCACTTCCTGTGTTTAGCACCCTGCCATTTGTACTTCCTTCAGCTTCCAAATTTTGCTGGTACTGGATGCCAACTTCCCTGGGACAAATCCCACCTGACCTCTTTCCAGTAATTTGTTCTTCTGGGTGTAGTCCTAAATAGCTATCTGTGGAAGGCTCTCATGTCCTATTAAAGACTTCAGTCCTTACTGAGCATGCTGTTGCCAATCACAGCATCTCCCCTTCCCCAGTCAGGAGCATCCATGGGATACTGGCTTGCTTTGTAGCCTGTGT